ATCCTTCCTTTGAGTCCACTGCTGCGTCTGCCTTAGTTGCTGAGCTTGTCGACTTTGCTGCTCGCTGTCGTCTAGACTACGCTGCTAGTCTTGTTGCTGAGTCTGAGTCTTTCTAACCTCCGTCCGTCGGGGGTGAGTGTGCTCTTAGCACGGACGTCCTTGAGGACAGGCAGGAGGAGTTCTAGTGTTTTGCTGCTGCTTTGCCTCATCTCGTGTCCACGCTGATTGCCCCTGAGGGAGACCCGGATGCACCAGACATTCCGACTCCTCGATCGTACGCTGAGGCGATCGAGGGTCCCTACTCCTCACAGTGGCAGTCTGCCATGGACACAGAGATGGCTTCCTGGAAGTCCACAGGCACCTACGTCAACGAGGTTCCCCCACCTGGGGCGAACATTCTCAGTGGCATGTGGATTTTGAGGGTGAAGCGGCCGCCGGGTTCTCTGCCTGTCTTCAAGGCGCGTTACGTGGCTCGAGGCTTCAGTCAGCGGCAGGGAGTTGACTACTTTAAGACCTTCTATCCCACCCTGAAGATGACCACTCTTCGGGTGCTGTTGCACATAGCCGCTCAGCGCGACTACGAGCTTCACTCTCTTGACTTCAGCACAGCTTTCCTGCAGGGCAGCCTGCACGAGGAGATCTGGCTGCGCCGCCCACCTGGCTTCAGTGGGTCGTTTCCTCCTGGTACCCAGTGGAGCCTCCGGCGGCTAGTCTACGGTCTCCGCTAGGCGCCCCGTGAGTGGCACGACACACTGAGGACTACACTTGCGGCTCTTCTACTGCCGACCCGTCGCTGTTTCTACGCACCGACACCTCTTTGCCGCCGCTCTAAATCCTCGTGTACGTCGACGACTTGGTCTTTGCCACTGCTGACACTGCTGGACTAGCCCACGTGAAGTCCGAGCTGCAGAAGAGACACACGTGCACAGACCTGCGTGAACTGCATCACAAAAACCCTATGCCAATGTGGACGAATTTTGATTTCGATTGTCTTCGCGTAAAAAAATCCGTAGCCAATTTGGACCGACGGTTGGAGTCATTTGATAGTGGCTCCGAGACACATCTTGCGACAACGTTTGGCTCGGTTCAAGTTCCAATTTGGCACGCGATCTTTTCCGGATGACATTCGGGCGCAATCCGTTTTGTTGCAAATTCGTGACCAAATTATTCAGAACTATATTATGTTTTTGTTCATTTTGGATATTGAGGATTTCAAAATTGCATTTATTATTGCGGTTTACAAGAACCATTTTTCAGCATTCTAGCAACAAGCAGTCTTAGCACCAGGTCAAATAGCCTAAGCACTGGCGGGCCTTGAAAGCGCCCGGTGGGCAAGGACGACATCTCCAAGGTCGCCGTCGTCGATGAGGAACTTGTTCGGAAAGACGAACGCACCCATAGCCGGATCGTGGGGGATCCTCCGCTCCACGACAGCAAAATGGATCATCTGTTTGACCTTTTCGCACCACTCCTGGTAGTCTGGCCTGTTCTGCTCCGGCTGGCTACTGATTCGCTTGCGACGCTTATCCTGCAGAAGGGGCCATTCGATCTGCAATGTGGTGTAGGGTTGGGTGGATGGTTTATGAGGAGGGTAGGTTACGGGTAAATGAGGCAACTGAAAGCGGTGATGCAGTCGTCACTATCTATGTAACTGCAAAGGCCTAATCGACCAGGGTTTTAGCTGAAGTACATGCAAGGGGTTAAGGGGATGAGGCATGGGGGTACAAACACATATCTACATCCTTACCGAAATCAGGCCCCATGCCACCATGCGGCTCTTGAACTTGGTGAACACCGCCCCGCTCCTCTTGAAGGAGAGTTTGAACGCATAAGCGAACAAGGGGTTGCTGAAGGGTGTCCCGGTGGCCTTGTCAAAGTGCCAGTTGAGGACCCACTGTTCTGCTTTTTGGCAGGGAGGGTATGGGTTGGAAAGGGTTTTGTAGAGAAATCAAATGGGGGGATGAGAGTCAGGGTGAGCCACATCGCACGGTGATATGTAGCTGCCAAGGGGCATATGGTAGGGCATATTGTGTTTTCGAGTCGCACTGCACATACCATCTCTGTACTCGGCTAGGAGTTGATCGTCGTCGAACCAGGTCGTTGGGTGTAGCTCAGTGGGCAGGCTATCCACCGGCTGTAATCGACAAGGCCCATGCCGGTGTATGTTGTTGGCCTGAGGGTGGAGTTGATAGTTGACCTTGTTGAGGACAGCTGGTGGTTGAAGACTCCCATGGTTGACTTGTCATTGTGCAACCACAGCAGCTTCATTGCCTCGAGCCCTTCTGCAGACAAGTGGACAGAGAACGCTTCGAACACTTCCTCCGGTGCAGGGTAGTACTGTATTTTCTCCGCCGGGTTTAGAAACATGAGCTGAGAGCACACTAAGTAGGCTTTGTTCTGCCCAGGGGTGTAAGGTATACAACACGACATGGAAGAGAGAAACAAGCAGTTATGAGAGTGGCCGCGTGACCATGGGATGGTGACTAGCAACACTGTTTGAAATTGTCACGTCACACCCTGCGCCATCAGACACGTCCACCAACAACCCGGCCCACTTGCCACGTCACACCCCCCTACCACAAGCCACGTCACCCCCCACCCACCTGACACGCCTCGCTTCGTCATGCGCAGTGGTCACGTGTACCATTTCTAACCGCCACGTCATCCCCAACCCTCACCTTCCGCCACGTCACACCCACCTGCATCCGCCACGTCACACCCTCCTTGTCCGCCACGTCCACCAACCAGCCCCACGTGCCACGTCACACCCTCCTGCATCCGCCACGTCCACCAACAACCAGCCCCACGTGCCACGTCACACCCTCCCACCCCATGCCACGTCACCCCCCACCCACCTGATACGCGTCGCCTCGTCACGCGCCGCTCCCGTGTACCATTCCAAACCGCCACGTCAGCCCCAACCCTCACATTCTGCCACGTCACACCCTTTTGCATCCGCCAACAACCCGCCCTACTTGCCACGTCACACCCCCCACCAAGAGCCACGTCACCCCCCACCCACATGAGATGCCTCGCTTCGTCATGCGCCGCTCACGTGTACCTTTTTAGGGTGCCACGTCATCCCCAACCCTCACCTTCCGCCACATCACACCCATCTGCATTTGTCACGTCATCCCCCACCCTCACCTTCCGCCACGTCACACCCCTCTGCATCCGCCACGTCCACCAACCAGCCCCAAGTGCCAGGTCACACCCTCCTTGTCCGCCACGTCCACCAACCAGCCCCACGTGCCACGTCACACCCTCGTGCATCCGCCACGTCCACCAACAACCAGCCCCACGTGCCACGTCACACCCTCCCACCCCATGCCACGTCACCCCCCACCCACCTGACACGCGTCGCCTCGTCACGCGCCGCTCCCGTGTACCATTCCAAACCGCCACGTCAGCCCCAACCCTCACATTCTGCCACGTCACACCCCCCAGCATCCGCCAACAACCCGCCCTACTTGCCACGTCACACCCCCCACCAAGAGCCTCGTCACCCCCCACCCACCTGAAACGCCTCGCGCCGTCATGCGGCACTCCCTTGCACCCTTTCACACCGCCACGTCATATCCCAACCCTCACCTTTTGCCACGTCACACCCAACCTGCATCCGCCACGTCCACCAACAACCCGCGCCACTTGCCACGTCACACCCACCCACCCCATGCCACGTCACCCCCCACCCACCTGATACGCGTCGCCTCGTCACGCGCCGCTCCCGTGTTCCCTTCGAAACCGCCACGTCAGCCCCAACCCCGCCCTTGTTGCCACGTCAACCCCAACCCTCCCCATGTGGCCCGCCACATACCGGGAATGGGTTTGTCTCCTGCAACACTAGCACTCGTGCCTTGTCCACGGCGCTCATCGGCGGCGGGGTACCAGCCATAGGCAGGGCTGCCGACCCGCCGGCATAGCTGGCAGGTACTCCACGACGCAGGCCGAGCTGTGCAAACATGGCGTACATCTCAGACCGCAGCGCCTGGAACTCCTCCCGTGTAACAAAATGCTCGTGCTCCGCACTTTCACCTAGGGCACCCATGAGCGGAGGAAAAGGGTGTGAAGAATCCCCCCTCTGGCCAAGGGGATCAACGTCTTCTGCAGCAGTCCCGTGTGCCCTCACACTATCACGCTGGCGGGAAAAGGGGAGCTCAGGGAAGGGATTGGCATAACTGCCTGCCTGATGCCCGCGCGAAGGATCGGCGAGAGGGGAGACCGCCCTGCCCCGGACACGAGAAGCGTGGAGTTGCCGAAATTGGTACGAGGGTGAGGCGAGTGGGGACTGCGTGACGGGGGTGGGTGGAGGGGATTCGGATTCTTCTCCTCTTGGCGCGCCTGGTGCCGTCGCAGCGACTATGCTCGGGCCGGCCCATGGCGTGTAGTACCTTGGTGCTCTGGAGGAGAGCGGTGTAACACTCGCTCTTCCGGCAGCCTTCGTTAGATGCATTCGTTGCACGCTTACGGGCGGCCCAATGCCTGTAACGCGAGGGGCTGAGATGTAGAGGGAGCCGGAAAAAAAAATTGAGTCGATCGGTTTCAAGGCGGGGCCAGACATGCATGCATATTCAGAAAGGTTTGAATCTAGATCGTGTTCAGGGTTGTACTGGTTTGAGACAAGAGGGTTTACCTTGCTTGGCAGATTTGTCGACCTTCTCCTTCCCTGCATGGGAGAAACAATGTGAAAAAAGGGTGTTTTTTGGCACGGTTTAGCAGATGGTTCGACATGTCACGCCAGTTTTATTGGACACAATGCTCACCTTTCTGCTGTCCCTTCGGTTTTGGGGCAGCCTGCGCCTTCTCGTTGCCACCTTTCTGCGGGGTGCTTTGGCGGACGCTGCGACGTTTACCGGCAGGTTCTTTCTTGCTGGTACCCACTGGAACCCCTTTGGCGCGGCCACCCTTTCCTCCTCCATCCCCTTTTGCTCCTTGGCTCCCTTGCTTTTTACCAACCCCTTCACTTTCGACCTTCACCTTACGCGCCTTCGGTTTGCCCGATGCTTCGCCGCACACAGCGTCAACTGCCCCGCGTTTTCGGGAAGGGCGAGTCCGGCCCCCCTCCTTCCCTGTACCACTCACCCGTCTGCCACGCCCGCCCCGTCCCTTCACTGGCGCCACATCCTCCTCCTCCTCCTCCTCCTCCTCCTCCTCCTCCTCCTCCTCCTCCTCCTCCTCCTCCTCCTCCTCCTCCTCCTACTCCGCTGCCTCCTCCTCCTCCTCCTCCTCCTCCTCCTCCTCCTCCTCCTCCTCCTCCTCCTCCTCCACATCCTCCTCCTCGTCGTCACCCTGCTCCTCCTCCTCCTCCTCCTCCTCCTCCTCCTCCTCCTCCTCCTCCTCCTCCTCCTCCTCCTCCTCCTCCTCTGCCTCCTCCTCCTCCTCCTCCTCCTCTGCCTCCTCCTCCTCCTCCTCCTCCTCCTCCTCCTCCTCCTCATCCTCCTCCTCCTCCTCCTCCTCCTCCTCCTCCTCCTCCTCCTCCTCTCGTCCTCCCCGCCATCATTCTCATCTTTTTCATCCTCCCCAACATCCGCGTCATCCTCCTCCGCTTCCTCTTCATCCTCCTCTCCCTCCGCATCCTCCTCCTCATCCTCCTCCTCCTCCGCATCACCGCGGTCTTCATCACCCCGTTTCGGCTTTGTTCCCGTCACTGCTTTCTTGCCTCTCCTTCCGCCGGATGCTTTTCTTGCTGCGGGTCGGCCCTTCTGGCGCAATGCTTGACCGCCCGCCTTGCCACTAGCTTCCTTGGCGCCTCGCGGTGTCCCAACTGCCGCGCCTCCGGCGTCGTCAGCACTACCTGTCGTCTGCCGCCTCTTCGCCCGCGTAATGAGGTCCCCGGGCACAGCGGTGTCATAATCGTCCTCCCCATCGCTCTTCCTCTGCCTACGCCTCCCCCGTCCACCAGAAGGTGGAGAGCCACCGACCAGCCCCACTGACTCGTGCTCCCCCACCTTTTCCTTATCCAGCACGGCTGCAGAAACTTCGACCACGGTCGGCTGGAGCAGCGTCAGATGGTGTTGCGTTGCCGCCGCCTCGGACTCCTTGGTTGCGGCATGCTCGGCGCGGGGATCGCCTCCGTGATTTCCCTCCGTTGCCGATCCCTCCATCTCCGCCGACAGGAGTGCAAGACTCGCGCTCCCTCGCCCCGGATCTTCGTTGCCGCCAGTGGTGCCGTCTTTACTCGGACCGGGCTCGGTTCCAGCAGAGGCAGCATCCGCATCTTTGTTCACTGTAGAAACACGCTTGCGTGGCGTTGGTTTAGGGCCCTTGTCTTCCGCTTTCTTGCCGGCCTCCTGTTGACCGCGCGCGACCTTTTTTGCCGCCGCTTTCTTCTTCCCAATGCCACGAGCGACGGACGCATTAGTTTTTTTAGCGCCGCCACCACACTCCCTATCGATTTGTTTAGACGTCCTCCTTGTCGCGCGGCGGCCGGCCTGTTCCTCCTCCATTGCTTGGTTACGTGTTGCACGTGTCATGGTAATTGTAGGAGGAGCAAAGTTGCAAATCGCGCGGAAGGGTTGAGCCGGTTTCGAAAGGGTTCTCCAACTGAATCCCACGATGGGATTATCGACGGTCTATCACTGTAAGGGGTTTCGAAAACCGCCGCTTCAACTAAATCTGTCATAGTAGCCACTATGCTTCGCGCTAAAGTGTGTCAAGGCAACGAGCAGCGTCAAAGTGTTGGTCCAGGGAGTGACGGAAGCAGGTGGGTGGGACACGAGGGTGGTTGGGGTGGGTTGCGAGACTAGAGAGAGTAATGTAACCCTATCAGGCTATATTGGACGGTGTACGTATAGCCTCCCTAGCATAAACCCACCTACCGCTCGATCTCAGCCGCTCAATGGCTGAAGTACCTCTTGGCTGATGACTGTGTTGCGGGGGGAATCGTTTGAGATGCGTCGGCCAATCACGGTTGCCAACGCATAAATCACTAAATTTTATTCAAACATACAAGAATGCATTTCATCAAACTCTAAGTTGCAAATGGTTTACCACGGGGTTGGGGTAAGTTAATCGGTGATTCTTACGTCACACACACAACGACCGTCCAGAATTATTACTTGTGACAAATGTACTGTGCACTTTTAGGCTTTGCCACAATGGTTTAGGGCCAGCGGACGACATTCTAACACGATTATCAATAGTAACAAACGTGAATCCGTTGTGGTATGGTGTTGGATTGGCATCCATTCTTGCACAGACATTAAACAAGGTGCTTAGAAGGAGTTGTATGAAGCACAGGCCCAACGCACAAGCGTAGATGCGTTATCGACAGCCATGGTTAGACTGTGCGACGATGCAGCGTTCAGGCCTGCGGGTTGCGCGACATGGTGAATCCGTTGTGGTATGGTGTTGCATTGGCATCCATTCTTGCACAGACATTAAACAAGGTGCTTAGAAGGAGTTGTATGAAGCACAGGCCCAACGCACAAGCGTAGATGCGTTATCGACAGCCATGGTTAGACTGTGCGACGATGCAGCGTTCAGGCCTGCGGGTTGCGCGACATGGTGAATCCGTTGTGGTATGGTGTTGCATTGGCATCCATTCTTGCACAGACATTAAACAAGGTGCTTAGAAGGAGTTGTATGAAGCACAGGCCCAACGCACAAGCGTAGATGCGTTATCGACAGCCATGGTTAGACTGTGCGACGATGCAGCGTTCAGGCCTGCGGGTTGCGCGACATGGTGAATCCGTTGTGGTATGGTGTTGCATTGTCATCCAACATTGCATGGACATTGAAACCGTTGTGTTATTGTACGACATTGTCATCCATTCTTGCATATTCATTCAGCACGGTGCGTAGAGGTACACTACACCTCGAGAGAAGACACGCTATAGGCATTCGCTCCACGCAATAAACATACGTTAGGGCATGGAGTTATTGGGTACTTCCCGTATCGTTATCAAGTAAGGGTTGTTCAACATCAGTCCTAAGGATATGAATGTTTACTAGTTATGAATGACTTGAGTGTCTTGTTAAGTTGTAATTGTACATTTGCATTTCCATGTTTGTTTGAAGCCTCTGGAGCTCACCTACGTGATTCTGATTTCCCCCCTATATCGATTCGCGACACAATCACAGATCCAAACGGATCTCTTCCCGCTCTTCCTCATCCCCCTCGACTCTCACGCACGGTTCCTAAACACAAGTTCTTGATTCAATAGGCACGTCCTTCTCACCGTGCTCACGACGCACACACACGACCGTGAGACTTAAGATCCTCCGCATTCTCCTCTGCTCACGTCGTGGTCACTCTAAACAGGGGCGACACGCCTTGTAGGGAAGACGGCCCGTGAGGTGGGCGGTCTGTATCGTGCCTGGTAACGACCACGCGGCTCGACATCGTTAGCCAGTCATAAACATTAGCGCCAATGTCAAGTGCCAGTCGTGCAATGATACAAGCCGCCCACCACAGTGCGCGCATTGGCGATGATCGTGTAGCTGTCACAGGCTTCTTGAACGCAGTACTTAATGCGTTCACAAGCTTCATCACGGCTAGTAGCTTCATAGGCGATTTCTCAACTCTACAACGGATCCGTAACACATGGGCTCTTTACCAGGCGTCGTCTGCAAGTTCTGCAACAGATGGTTCCCCAACTCCCAAGTTTATGGCGGTCATAAGTCACGGCGGACCCCTTGCCAAGGACTATCCGCCATGGCAAGGCCGACGCGATCTGCACCGACCGCCGATCTTCACGCTCTGCTATTCGTCCACGACATTCTGTCGGACGCTCCAGCCGCTCCCGGTTCACCTACAGCGTCTAACGCATCCAACGCCGTCAGTGTGAGCGGTCCTCCACGCGTGCCTGAAGCTCACATTGACGAAACTCCCAACGACGTGAACGAGGGGCCTCCTGAAGATGAACATCAACCACAACCAGGAGCTCCTGCAGCTGACACGAGTGACCATCCTGAGAGCCGGCCCGAAGGGAGTCATGCCGCGCCGCCAACAATCATCTCCGGACAGAGCAATGCCACGCCCCTCAATCCGCTCACGTTGAAGCTGCTGCATTTCGTTCGGCGCGTGAATGGCGGAATGGGAATGGCCGAGGTTGACATCAACGGCCTGCTTCAGCTAGTCGTAGAGCCCGGCCTTGCGCCTCTTGTGATCTCGGAGCTCCGGAACTGTAAGGATCTGGAGCGGTTCGAGATGGAGCGTTTGGCAGGGCTCAATCGCGGATGGTCGGTGGTGACCTTCGAGATTGACGGTCATCCACCACAGCGCTTGCTCTTTCAGAACTCAGCCCAGGTAAGCCGACTTTGCATTCAAGGCCGTGAAATGATGATGAGGCACACAGGGTTTGCATGTACGTAGTTATCCTTGTATTAACCGTACACCCACCTTCACCGCCACTAACCATACCTCTCCACTCACCTGCCTTCGCCACCGTACACCAGGCATTCGCTGAAATGTTTGGACATCCCAACAACGCGCCCGGCTTCAAGCTCAAGGCGCGTGTTGATGAGGACCCTGACGCAGGCAGCCGTCGCTATACCACGCCTGGAACAGAAACGTGGTGGAACGATGCTCAGGTAAGGAAAGACCACGTTGCCACCCCAAACCCAATCCTTCCTCATGCCTCCATCGCTGCACTGATCTGACAAGAGCATCTTGAGCCCTAAACCGTGTATCCGTTGCCGCTTTGTCGTGCACTGCAGGAACACTTCGGTTGGTCCGAAGTTGTGGGGGGGATCATCTTATATTCGGATGTGACGCACAAGAGCATCAACGGCCGGAAGAAGGCGTGGCCGCTCATGATGACGCTGGCCAACATCTCCCAGGCCAAGCGATGGGGGAAAGCCGGGCACACACTACTTGCCCTCCTTCCTATCCCCCCGTCTGCAATGTCTGCCGTGGAGAAGGTGATGCTCTTCCAGCGTTGCGTCATCACCGTGCTGCAGCCGCTTCTTGATGGCATCGCCAGGTCCGTACTCGGTTTGCATCTTGCTAAGACATCATCTCACCACCTGCATGGTATGCAAACCCTCTCTGTATGTAGCATGGCCCTTTGCCCCTCGTCGTTCCTCCCTAAAAGCCGTAACCCGAATTCCTGTTGCCCCTCTACCTGTTCCTTGCAGTGGGTTCCGTCTCAGGGACCCTTTCGGTGATTGGCAAACCGTGCGGCCCCTGCTGTACGCCTGGGTGTGCGACTACCCCGAGAGCGGCAAGATCAGTTGCACACTCTCGCATGGATCGCGGATGCCGTGCAGCATCTGCTATGCTGCAAAGGTGAGGTCACATGCCATCTGCACGCATTCAAATACAATCTCGTTTGTGGGTCGCTTGATAGAACCCACATAGCTACCACCCTTACCTTTTCTATCCCATCCCTCACCCCCGTGCTACAGTAGGAGCATCTGAGTGCTGTCAAGGCACGGAACACGCCGCGCACGCCTGAACAGCAACAATGGATCGTTAACGAGGCGGTTGGGACGACAACTAGCCAGGCTGACCCGTGCAAGGCCTACTCTACCTACCCTGTTGAGGTGAGTGACCTGTTTCCCCGGCCCATGAGTAGTCTATGCTCTCGCCCGCCCCGTCATGAATTGCCAGATGTGCTCTGCCCCATTGAACTCACCCCACTTGTGGTTTAGGTTAGCTATCCACTCTCACGTACATCTCTCCTCCATTCCCCACCACATCCCCATTTCCAGTGCGTGCTCTGGAAGTGGGATGTCCCAGGGACCGCGTGGGGCAATCCCTACCTCATGGTGATGCCTGACATCATGCACCAGGCGGACCTGGGCATCATGAGCCACATTGTGGCTGTCGTGCGCAAGATGAAGAAGCGGCGTGTGAAGGAGATGGACAGGTCAGTGTTTTGGGGATTGGATTCGTTGCTCTTTGTCACATTTACTCAAACCATAAGTTCTGTCCTATTACTGACATGTTTCTGCCCTTTTGCCACCGCTGAACTGATGTGTATGGGCAGGCGCCTGTCTCTCATTCGCGACTGCACGCACTTGAATCACATGCGCCTGCCGGAGAGCGCCTACTTCGAGACCGGAGCATGTGTGGTGGCCTATGAGCACAGGGCCGTCATGCAGGTATGAACCCTCCATTCCCTGTTGCTTGTCCTGGCCTAAACCCTCAAGCAGTCTGCTCATGCTGCCATTGTTTGTCCCAACTCCTCACACCATCTGTGCTCACCCTCCCCTTTGCTGCTATCCACATTCTTTGCAGGTCATGGTGTTTGTTTTTGCAGGCCTGCTTCGCCAGCCCCAGATGGA